AAACCTGCTCCTGATTGGCAGAAGGGTGTTGATAGTAACGGTTGCTATTTCGATTGATTCACTTTTATTCGAACAGAGAAATGAGCATTCAAATGTTGAAGTTACTGAAAAACCGCAAGAACTTTCTTCACGACCTTGAGGATTTGTAAGATCGTTGTTTTGTTCGGCCACCTAATTCTATTTAACTCATTATTAAGGCACGAGCAGCGATGCACCAACTTCCTGGATTCTGTAATAAGGGCGCAGAGCCTGAAGCTGATGCTGATGAGAATGAGGAGATGAAGTCAGACTAAGATGGAGATGAATTCAGACCAAGATTTGTCCCCATCTCCACCTGATCCATTTGAAATAACTGTAATATTTTGCCTCACATTGATTTTTTGTTTTGTTCTTGTTTCTGGTCGATTTTCTGAGTGTTGCCATTGATTTGTTTTGCTACTAGTACAGAGTAAATGCAGGTGCTTTTGCTATGAAATCGTTTTCTTAAACGGTACGACCTGCTGGATCCGCATGCAATAATTCGACCAATCGAAGCTTTCAAAAATGTACAGAATGAGTAAGAAAGCAAGGCGGCCTGGAGGTTCACTCTCCCCAGAAATGGCCAACAAGTAACACGATGACACGGTGTTGTCCTCGGAGAGGTTTTCCCGCACATAGAGACGAGGATGAAAACACTCCAGCAGGACATGATCTGAGAACACAGGGCAAATAGCAGCACACGGTTGTGGCTGGCGCGGAGAATTGAATTGAATTAGGAACGGTAGAGAAATGATTATTCCGAATAGGCTCATAAGCATATGAATCGACTGATCCAAATGGAAGAGTGACTAGGAAAGAGAAAGTAGCGAGAGTGAAGAGAGAATAAGTGAAAGTGGAGGTAAACTCACTTGTTTGGCCCTCTAATGCGCTCACTGTCCCCTCCTCATGGTAGTTCAGACGAAGGGTCGAGGTAGTTGAACACTATTCTACTATAACTACTCCAAAAACTCAGAAAAATTTTGCAAGGGCTATACCAGGCCCTGTGTGGTTCAGTGTTTAAAATAAGAACCCCATGGTTCAGATGGTCAACAAATATCATACTCTAGTTCGCTGTGGACGGTTGGCGTGTCAGGCAGTATGAGTGTGTCACCGTCAAAGCCGTTCTCTCTGCCTTCTTGTTGAAGCGCGCATGCGACAAAAAGTGGTAGAAAACGAGTAATACGAACGATATGATACAGTCATATCATTTGCTCGCTTTAACAACTGGTGGAGAACGGGTTTGGCACCGCGCCAAACTCATCCCGCCTGACACGCCCAACCGTCCGCAGCGAATTACACTATAACATTTTTATTGTATAGGTGAACAGGTGGAATTGGTGACCCAATGTCTCGTTCCGGACAATGATGGTAGGAAGGCTCAGGCTCTCAACTGGCGAAGATCAGCTTGACCCCGTATCGGGCAGGAGCGGGCTCGACAAGGGATCGTTGTCTGAGACTGTGAGACGACTATCGCGTGTATAGCACTACTTCACAGAAGCGGCATAGCACGCATTTTAACCAGTCATCGTGAAAGAATGGGTCGGGTTACCCTCAGCACCGATATCAGGGCCTCCGTTTAATTCAGTCATATCCCACCATTTGTTCTCGTTTACTCGCTTCAACTGGTGGAGAACAGCAGAATCAGTTGTACTCAGGACGCCTACCAACAGCCCGCTGAATGACCGCGCCACGTCAATACTTGTACTGCTATCGATTTATTTACGGAGCACGGTTGATATAAAACGCTATGGTGCTGCATGGGAATAAGAATTTTCTAGTTCGCTGCGGACGAAGGGGCTTCTCACCATCAGGCTCAGGCCATGTGAGTGTGCCACAACGCCAAACTCGTCCTCTGCCTGTTGTTGAGGCGGGTATGCGATAGCAGTTGATAGAGAACGGCTTATACGAACAATATTACGCTCTATCACTCTATCACTTGCTCGCTTCAACAACTGAACGAGGAGGGTTTGGCATTGCGCCACACTCATCCCGCCTGACAAGTCTCTTCACCTGCAACGAACTGGATTACGCCGTATCTAGCGGAGCAGCCGTGGGAAACTCTTTTCGAGTGCTTCCTGTCTACCGTGTACTCGTCCACTTTCGCGCAGAACAAATGCTTCT